AATCGAATTGCTTTGGATAAGAACCTGCCGTGCCGTTCAGATAATGTGTTCTTTAGGGTTGTTGGCCTCAAGGTGAAAGGATGTAGTCGCTCATTAACCACATTACAAGAGTGAAGTAATACTGGCACCATTTCATCGTGCTAACAGCAGAGCTGTAAATAACATATTACAACATCATATCCAAGGTCAAAGTGTATCCACTTCACAAACACTATCGGCAGTCTTAAAGGGAATACTAGAATACTTTCATAGAGTTTGTTTCACTGGACTGTAATATATAATCCGCCACTCGTTTACTGTGGCATCACTGTCTGCTACTGGATTTCATCACCTGTCTCTACCAATGAAATATATATTACCTGATCAAGTGCTGAACACTTTGCCACGTGTAATCTCAATCTTAATTTTCATATACCTTTGCCTGAATACAACTGTCGAGTGTCTCCTGTTTCAGCAAGTATTGTCATGTCCAGTGACAGGATTTAAAAAGGGGGTCCTCTATTATGCTTTTCCACTTTTTCAACTTTAGTGTGTAATGTTGCTGTAACCATCTGCAAGGTTACAAAACTCAAAGTCCACTCCAAAGGAAGATTTTTTTTTTGTTCATCTATGCTTAGTCTGCACATTTTATGGAGAACAGCTTGTTTTCTGTTGCTTTTGTAAGATGGTTCTGCGCCCTCCTACGCACTTCCGCTCAATTTCATTTTACTTTAGTACTACGTCTGGGATCGCTCCATATCCTTAGGTTTCCAGAAATCAATTTTTTGTAGGACCAATCAGCGAATAGAGGGAGTGGCTGAGAACGATGACGTTGTTGTAAGCGTGTCAGTTTGAGTTCAGTAATGGCAGCGGAGAAAGAAGTGAGAAAAGCTATTCGAACCGTTGTTGGAAAAGAAACTGCCGAATATACAGAATTTAAAGCCGGATTGTTGTCGTCTAACCTCTTGTTGCACAACGGAGGACCAAGTGAAGGAGGCAGAAAGTTTGGATGTTTGTGCTGGGCAGCTCGTGCACGATGACCGTGACATTTTGGACGGACGGTTTAGCCTGGTGTTCGCGGTGTTCGGAAGCCCCGAGTCCTGGCTGCTAAACTATTGTTGAAGATCCGCTCAGGAGTCATTTCAGTCGCTCATATTCCCAACTGTAAATTTACTGATTCTTGTGATGAATAGAACATTTTGAGCCCCTTTGTGCACTCGTGCAGGAGGTTGGTGTGTCAGTTTTACATGTTGGAAATCATACAAATTGGTTGTGATTTTAAAAAAATGATTGTCATAAATAAAAATGTGAAAAACCATACTTTGAAGATATTTGATTTTCAGTTTTAGATGGCAATGGTTGATTTTTTTTACTAAAAAAACTAAATGCCACATAAAAATGTACAAACATACGTTGAAGACCATAATTAAGGTAATTAAGAAACAATAAGACGTAATATGACAAATTGTTGTTTATTACACATCTGCAGATAGAGACATACTGATCATTCACTGTAGCTCATACAGCATTTGCGGCAGATCAGAAAACGACCACAGCGGCGTATTTGTAATGATTAGACACAGCAGCTTCCACCGTTGAATGTATATATCACCGTCCTTCGTGTCAAATATACATTTCGAATTAATAATTGTTCCTAGATTAACAAAACCTGCGGCGCTCGTTGACTGAAATCCTATTGTAAACATAATCCTCTGATCATTCGGACTTGTTGTTTCCAGCCATTTCGGCGTGTGACATACGTCACTCACGACACCCCGTTAGCGATTGGCTATGGCAGATCGTGAGTGACTTTGGGCAGATCCTATAGATTTGAACTTTAATAGTGAACCCGCCTACAAGAAAGGAAACGTTTCTCAATGGAGCGGTTCCAGACTCTATGTGGAAATGAAATGAACTAGAGTCTGGTTGAACCAGGCTAAGATGGTTCCCCGCTCCTTAGAAAAACTAACCATGGTTTTATGATCGATTACTTTTTGTATTACCTTAGTTTTCCCACAAATTTCACGATTAAAGTGTGGATCGTATCTATAATGTGTAAGAAAATTCCCAAAAAAACATCCTGTGCTTGCAAAGTCTGTTCATGAAATCCGTTCTGGATGCTGCTCTTGTTCGTTAAAATTGTCAGGGTCTGAATCGGGCTCGAATTGGTTTGAAATAATAACCTTAATATTTACATTGGGACATTAGGGACTTTAAGCTGCTGATGGAACGCCAATGGCAGCAGGAAATTAACGGTGAACTGCCGTAGCTAAACGGTTCTCCCGTGGTAGACGGTTACAATAGAACTTCGCAAAGTAGCAGTTAAAGTCGCGCGTGCGCAATAGAACGCCAGAATGCCGTTGCCGTTCCACCAGAGGCTGTTGCTTAAAGTCCCTATTTCCCAAACACACGCTAAAGCTGTCAATCACAACACACTGGGCAAGCTAACCAATCACAGCACATTTCACAGCGGCTTGTTCGAGTCAGACTGGGGAGAGAGGCTGTAATAATGTAAAATAATGTGAAAAATAATGAACAATCAAGCATGAAAACATTCTAGTACATCCCAAAAACAAAATCAAGACCTCGTAAACAGGCTTAATAGGAGCCCTTTAAAAGATGACAACTGATGGCTGTGATATCCTGCACACCCTGAAAATATTATAAAACACAAATATAACATTTTTTCAGTTAAATTCGGATTAGTAAAACCTGCAGCATGCACAAATAAGATTCTTTTTTCATTGCAATTCATTACAGAGACTCATAGAGATATTTTTTTCTGAAATATTGCCCAGTGAAGAGCAGTGATGGGCTGAAATATTGGCCAGACTGATACATGTGCTGAATAAAGCCATTTGAAAATAATCCACTGACCAAAAAACAAACAAAAAAAAAACCCCCTGTCCTTTTCAAAAGAGTTATTCACTCTTGTGCCAGAACGTTCTGAAATTAACCACCAGCCTTGTCAATGTTTATTAAACTACACTCTAAAAACAATCTGTGATATTTATGGTTAAAAAACAGCACCTGTGGTTGTCAGTTAAAATATACAGTGGCAACATCAGCTGTCAATGTATTTGGACTAAAATTATTTTATAGCAAAAATTATATTTCATTAACTGATATAATGTTAATAAACCAAAGTACTTAAATCTGTATTTAGTATCTTTATAATATTGACAACCATCATAAATAATACACAGGTGGTAAAAAATAAAGCCACATGATAAATGAAACCATTGAATTGTGGAGTTACAGGGAATTCTGGGAACTCTGATAACAGTTTTTCTATTACTGTTTTTCACTGTATAAGAAAGGCAATTAACAGGATTTTACCATAGCAATTCAGTCTTTTACTGTTTCCAAAATAGTTTATTCTAAGCCTACATTGTATAAAATAAATGTTTATTTTGTGTCAGCAAATGGAGCATGATCAGTCTTTCACCCTGGGCTCTCAATATCAGTATTGGTCATTGAGAACCAGTCAACCACTTATAAAGCACACCAAAGCCTGAGGGCAACGTTACTAAGGCTCATATGCAGGATAGCACATTTGAATCTTGTTTGCTATACCATGCAAACTGTATATTTGAGTCAGTGAGAAGACTGGGACATATGGTGAGCCCCAGGAGCAGTTGTTGCTTTGCTGAACAAGAGACTTTGTAAGATATGAAATTCTCCTTAGTTGTATCAAACTCAGCCAAGCCCAAAGGATAAACTGCATTCTGACTCCAGAGACAATATTAAACTTGAAGTGAAGCGTTCATATGTTTGAAACGCACCGAAATGGTTTTAAAACTGTATCCAATTTCTAGAAGCCATCTTCAAGACACCAAAGAGCTCAATTTATTGATTTCGTTGCACTAAGCTCAGTGCCAGAGGCCAAATGCGAATGCAAAGATCAAACTGCTGCAGAACTGAGTGATTTGCCATAGGATAATCAAACTTGGCAGGCTGAAAGTTTTGTGGTTTTAACGTCACAAAATCATTGGGATACCAATAAACAACTAGTTAAACTCAAGGGACATGAAACATAAAAGTCAAAGTTACTAATTAGTGCACAAAACCAACAATAAACCATATAATCTTATTCTTCATTACTACAAAATCATGCAATTCTAAACTTTAGACCAGAAGCAGAACCCATAAGAGTATACTTGTGTGCAAGGGACACCAATGCTAATCCTTTAAACACAGCTTTAACTTTTCGTGTGAGGAGAAATACCCAATTTTTACGGTAAATGTGTTTATTAAAATATTAATATGTGGAAAATCTTTGTGTATGCATTAAGTAACATTTTTTGCCCTGCTCATTATAGTCCTGTACTACTTGTTTAAATCAATTAATCTCAATCAATTTATATTGTTTATTGTAATATTTGTAAATGTGTTTACTTAGTTAATTCATATAGATTAATTTAATGTAAAAATATATTATAGATAATATATAAATGTGTATCTTTCATACAGCGCTAGTCATATTCTAGTCAGATCAGATGGATCAGGAATATGTGTCACTGGAGTACATCATAATCTGGTGAGGATTGACACTAATCATCAGATTAGCTCTGCTACATATCACCTCACGTACATCTAACTCAACAATAACCACAGAATTAAATAATTTAACGTTACATTAAATAGATGTTTAAAAGAAAGAACAGTTGATGAGGCTAATCCTAATCCAATCCATGCCATAATATAACGTCAACATGTTAGCTATAGACTGCTTGTGAGTGAGACCACTATATTTAGTCATTAAAGATAAATGACAGTGAATTATGTACTGATCTGTCTTAAGAATAATTACTAATAAAGTTAAATACTTGTATAGTTAGCTACAGCTAATGTGCTTAGCCGAATTGTTAGCCACTTTGTTGTGATTTCTCACCAACTGGTTTGAATGATTTAACATCGGTATACGTTAGGTTTAAATCTACTATAACTAAGAATCACAGTGATCAGACTGACAACGCTGAAACTAGTTAGTTCAGGTGGTAGGAGTTAAGTTAACTCACCTGGCCGGAGTGGTCAAAGCCAAAGTAGCTCTCGGTTAGCTACTGCTGTAATATCCCAAAATAACCGCAACAGTATCACAATTCCAGTTCAGGATTTCCTCGGAATGGTTTAATAGTGTTCGGAAAAACAAAATGCTGAGGATTAGGCCATTTTTCAGTTAGTGTCTCATCTACGACACTGACACACAACAAGCCCTAGCATGGCTGTAATGGATCGGGCCGGTGACGATGTATGTGCGGTTGATAGGCAACCCACGAACTGTTTCCCAGCTGGGGCGTCGTCCATGTTCGGGTCTTTTCGGATTATTTCGGTCACATTCGACTGCGCTTCGAATTCTGTTGCTTACGTTCGGTCGGTTTTCGTTTTTAGTCGGATCTGCTCGGAATCGTTCGGTCATATTCGTTTTTTTTTTTAAATTGCGTTGTCACCATAGACAGTAAAGGAAAGGTTGTCACCTGGTGGCAGTTTTTTTTTTTTTTTTAATTTTCCTTATTACAATAAAGAAATCTAACAAATTGTTTGGAATTTATTGTTAAAGTTATATGCTGAAAGAAACGTATCTTTCAACAAGTATTCAATGCACTTTTTTCAATTTAAAGAACTTCATTATTAAGATTACACTTGTGATTATGTTTACATATAACATTGCTAAAGAATTTACCAGAAAACAATGACAAGAAAAATGAATGTAAAACATTACAACAATAAAAAAAAAACAACCAACATTCTTCAAAATATCTTCTTTTGCGTTCAACAGAAGAAAGAAACTCATACAGGTTTGGAACAACTTGAGGGTGAGTAAAAAATATCCCTTTAATAAACAATATGTATGAATAAAGTTATTATAGCCTACCAGAGAATGTCTAATATGGCTATATAAACGACATGTACTGCCATCTAGTGGCTGGCTATGTAAAAATTTCAATCCTTCGAACATGTTCTTATTTCAGCAGGGCGACTGTCGTATCTTGGCGTTTTCCGTCTTTTATGAATATTTTGTTTTTATTTAGATAATTTTGGTTTATTTTATAACACACAAACGTGAACCAAACGTCACATTAGCTTACATGTAGCCTGATGTTTTGAAATGCACCATCACCGGCTGCACATAAACAAATGACCACCGTTGTGAGATAGGGGTACATATTTCTATTTCTACAAACTCAAAAGTTTTGGATGGCACATACTTTAAAGGATCCATTGGGACATGCACACCATTGTGGAGCTCAACGGAGTCAAGTGTGGATATCGCTGTGGCTACTGTAGGAATGCAGGAGGTAAAGCGTCATACGGTAAGTGAAGTTTTCATGGTTTTGGATAAGGGAAGACTACATAAACACGGATAAAGTATTTGCACAAAACAAACAAATGATTACAACACAGAACCTTAAATCTTTCGTGTACAGTACAATTTTGTTTTGTGTGGAAACAAACAAAGCAAGTTGCGCCATTTTGTAAGGTAAACAGCTTTCAAAACGATAGTTTTTTAATAATAAATATTTTATTGCTTCCTTCCTTGCATGTAGGGCTTTTATACCACTACAGTGATTGTGCGGTGAATCTGTGCTGTGCTTCCAGGTCAAAAACATCGAATACTACTATGGTGAATGTTTTGTTCCCCTTTGACGTTGTTTGCTTATGGCAAGCCAATTTAACCTTCATTCATTCACACAATATTCTTGATATCTACAATTAATTTTCACTATAAAAATGTGAATCATTGATGTCAACAAAGACATCATCACTCGCAGAAACACAAATTCTTTATATTAAGAATGCACTAGTAAAAATTAAATTCTTGATATCTGTTTTTGTATTTCACTAGTTTAATGCCACCATAGGCTGACATTCAAATTCTATTGTTGATATCATTGATTTGTTACTATCTAAAATTCCAATTTCACATAGGCTATCAAAAATGTACAATTCGTACTAGTAAAAATTATAATTTTATGTAGCTTATCAATACTTTACCTGTGCAAATGTCTGTTCTTGATATCAACGATTGAATTTGATTGGCAGCCTGTGGTGATATTTAACTAGATACAATAGCTTACAATTACATATATCAAGAATTATAGTTTTTTTTTTTTAGTGTGCAATTTAATTCTCGATATCAAGAATTTGTATTTCCGCTAGTGATGATGTCATTGTTGATATTATCATATGATATCAAGAATTCACTAGTGGTAAAAAAAAAAGATGATATAACAAAATGCCATTGTTTCTAGTAGAAATATAATCCCTTGATATCAAGGATTAGCTTGTTAACTAGTGAAAATTTAATTGTTGCTATTCATATCCTAGGAATGAATAAAAGTGAATACGGCTTGCCATAGTTTGCTTGCCTTTTTGGGACGTCCAGTCACGTAACGTAACCGTAACCTCACCTACTAACGGCGGCTTTTCAGAAATCAGACCAATCAGAAAGCGCGCTGGACCAACGTCATGCAGCGTAATTAATATTCATGAAGTTGTCCTTACCCATAGTAGGGTTCGTTAATCGTACCTGGGGGAGCGTGGAAATGGCAGCGGGTGGATCTTACAGTATAGTGGAGTATTTTGGGGGAGATGACGGCTATCGCTGCGGTTACTGTAAACATGAAAATGGCAATTTCTCAAACGGTGAGTGGGCATTAATCTGCTACTAATGACTTGCGGTCAATATATCACGTTTGAGGGTAGGAAGCCGGGTTTGACTCGGAGCGATGACCGTTTCGACAAGCGGTGACTGTTACATGAACTGATTAACATGGTTTGTCACATGTTTAAACGATTTATTATTAAATATAAGTATTGATTATATAGTTCCAAATGAGTTGCTTCATTGTCAAGTAATTTATAAACTGTAAGATGCTCTCATAATCTTTGTTTGTGGTGGATAAAGACCTTGTCAGCTGTTCTCTACCATTGACATGTCAGTTTTAAAGTGTATTTTTGAAAACAGAGAAGATAGAAATCAATTCCTGATGTGAGAGAATAGCAGAGGCCTGTTCATCTTTGTCCACCCCTTATTCACAACCATGTGCCATTCTAGTTTTTGCAGTAAGTTTTACAGTTCAGATCTTTACAAAAAGAGTTTCCTGCATTGTTGTGTAATCTAGGCAGTCAGATAGTTACAGGGTCACTGAGTTTATTAAATAATACATTTTAGTTACTCTACAGAACTATTTAGGCTATTGTATGGCAAGGGGTTTCAGTCTTTTAGATGTCGCAGGTCATATATGAAATACATCTATGTATTTTCTAGTATAAAGACCCAATTTATACTGTAAAAAATATGCATGAAATTGTATTTTTTTGCACTTAGACCTTCTAGTGCTTTCTTTTATTACAATTAGCGATAGAAGTCTGCTCTCAATTTTAGAAAATGTATAGTTTTTATAGTTCATGATTCCCATCATTCTGAAGAAAAGGGCCCAGGGAATTGCCAAAGACTGATGGCCAATGTTTTATTATATTTACTGCATGATCTGCCACCAGAGAATTCACATCAAAATGTTTTTTGATTTACCTTAATGATGATGTTGACAAATGGTGCTAAAAGTGGTGACACAAGCAGATCAACAAGGATTGTGTGAGGAAGCGGTGTTGTAATAAAGATAAAGATGTGGTGCTAAAGATAATCCGATCCTAATCTGCTCTATGCATAAAGTGGAGGTCATTATTATGATGGGAATGTTCAGAGATGTTTGTTTACTTTCATTTAACTGACATTATCCTAAGCAATGCTTTATTACCTAGGGCTCTGCCTCAGTAACTCTTGATATCTTCGGGGGCTCCATCTTTCACTGATTTCTAGGCCCTCATCACGCTTTTCAGTCTAGCCATGCGGGAGAATAGAGTTTTATTGATTGCTTTCACTTTCAAGTATTTGAAAGTGAAAGGAAGTGCCCGGACCTTTCAAAGTCAACCTTGAAATTCTGTTTGCAGCACATTTTACTTTTATGATGTGAGGCATTTCCTATTGAAACTGGATATATTCAGTGAGAAATAATGTTGGACAGGGCTCTAAGTTAGTAATTGCAAATTAATTTGGGAAAATACCAGAATGGAGCTGAGGCCTGAAATATACAAGAGGGCTTGATGATGTCAGTTGAAAAGTAAAACAACTTTCAGAGATGGAGAAAGTTCATATAAAACTATTTAAAGAGATGGACTTTTTTGAGTAATGGGCATCATGCAGTCCAGGATAATGCATTAAGAAAGTGACTGGGGTCAGTTTTGGTTTATTATTTATATATCACATATCCTGCCCTCTTGTTTGATTTTTCTATTACCATATCACATTGAGAAATGTATATTATTCACTCGTTTTTATTTGCGTATATGTGTCATTGTTTACTTTAAATTTATTGTGTGGTGAGGTTTTAATTTTTGTTTTTAGTCCACAAGATAGTGATAGGTGTTTATATTCTCCTCAGTGTTTGTAGCTCAATCTAAATAAAGAGACATCTTAACCCCACAGCCAACAAAAACTGAAAGAATTCTCAAAGCTTTGAGGACAGATGTCCTCCTATACGTGTCCCTGTGTGGGAGCTTAATTCTCCATGACGTCAAAGGAAACTTTTTCCCTTCTTGAACTGTGTGTCCATTTGAGGCTCACTGTGTCTCAGTCAGAAGTGACTATGGCTATGATCAGATGCCCTCCTGTTCTCACGTTCATGCATGTCTTTATTTAAGGGGCTTAACTTAATAAATGATCTAAATATTGTTGTTCTTTCTCTAGGCATGTGGTCCCATACTATGACAGTGCAGGACTACCAAGATCTCATCGACAGAGGCTGGAGAAGGTCCTGATTATCTGACCTAATTAAACTGAGTGTTTCATAATTCAATCGTCTGACTCGACTTTAAACATGTTATGAATGAATAGGATTTCTTGCATAATGTCTTAGCAGGAAACACTTTTACACATTAACAGGATACAATAGTCTTGGCAGTTTAAGGAGCTTAACACAATGACAGATATAGAGATACTCCCTGAGCTCACAGTCTCATAGACTTCTTTGAACAAGACAAATGGGTTTTCTTGAAGAAAATGGTTCAATTCAACATGAAATCACATTTTAATCTGGATATATTACTGGCACGAAAACTGTACAATCTCTGGATCACGAGTAGAGTCAGCTATATTCATAGTAAACAATGCCAGGTTTAGTAAATAAAATATGGTAAGTTATTTAAAATGTATGCTTATTTTAAGTAAATTAAAATTACTGCATTTTTAACCATTGTTTTTTTTTTTTTTTTTAGTAATTGGTTTAGTGAATAATCATTGACTTATTGATGCATGGCTACATTGTATTTATTATATTTAAATGTATCTCACCTTTGTTCTTTTCCTGTTTTTTTAATTTTATTTTAGAAGTGGCAAATATGTTTACAAGCCAATTATGAATAAGACTTGCTGCCCACAGTACACCATCAGGTAAAAGATTGCTTGTGTATATAGGATACTTGTGATACGATGTGATAAATTAACATGAATATTTTATAGTTAACTGACTATTGAGTGATCTTCTCAAATGTGTATATGGGGCGGTCAGCCGGTCACACTACACGTTTCATTCCATTGACTTCCATTCTTACGCATGCAAATGCATCAAGTTTTGCATTTCACTGCGTCCAAAGTTTGGTGAACTCTGACTTGAGAATTCGCATCACGTGAAGACGTGTAACCAGTAAAAAATACGATTTGTCACAGATTGACCTCTTAGCTGAATTAAAAGAACAATGTTTTTTTACTGTAAAGTTAAGTCGATTGTATATTTTTTACATTTTGAATGTATTGCTATTTGTTTAAAGCAGCATTATGTTACTTATGAAATGATGCTCTCTGGGTCCCCCCTACAGTTGGGAAACAGTACTACTGTCGTAAAATCTGTCATGGTTACACTTGGAATTTGAGGAAGTGGGGGAAGTGATGTATGCCGTAAAGCAGTCGAATTTTGTAGTCCTTTTTGTGCTCGGGTTCCTACCCACACCTCGAAGTTACAGAGTGCCAGGCTATGGCAGACCTGTTATTCAACCTATTGTAAGTCGATGTACCATCTCAAGGGTTTTGGAAAAATATTATAAAGGTTGAAAAAGCTACATAGTGCTGCTTTAATTCATGTTTATAAAGTGTTGAATGAATGATGCATTATATAGAACTTTACTTGTTGTTGTACTTACTGTTTGGCAGGTGCCATGCCTTGAACTTCCACCCGTCGAAGACTCACAAAAAGACCTTGAAGAGAGTGAACAAGTTTCTCTCCAAAGGAGAGATGCCAGTAGAGCGGTGTGATGAGGGACATGAAGGTGAGCGGGCGAGCGAGTGCCACTTACTAAATCATTTGGCTGCTGGTGGTGATCAGTCATGACCCACAACTTGGCATCATGAAGCTGGATGCGATGTTAGATGTTTATTTTATCTGTGTTTTGTTAAATAACTTAAACTCTTTATCACATCCTAACATGAAAATGACATTAGTGTGTAATACCACAAATCGAAGAGACCAATTTAAACACATCATTTACTTTTTAACTTGTGGGTTAGCTTATAAATTATAGCCTTTTGATTACATTCAGTATTTATATTTAGTTATGATTTTTTCAAATGACAGAAACCACCATTTCAATATTGAAAACCGTTTTAAAATGAACACAAGAGAATCTTTAATAATTTATGTTGTGATGACATCTACCTGCACTACATATGCATTATATTGATAATGAAACATGTTAATATGTGAGAAATGCCACTTAATGAATTGTGAAGATTAACATTTTTGAGTGACACAAACGTTTAGAAGATAAAATAGCCAAGTTTAAATTAAAGATTCTATTAAAATTTCTCTTATTATCACAGTGTTGTTTAATTTACATTGGCACAAAATATATCCATCTCAATATATAGCCCAGTCAGAAGAGTTGCATCCCTAAGGCTGTGTTTTCTACAGGTATAGCCTCTGTCTGTTTCTTATATCTTGTGGTCTGGTCTGATTTAATTGCCATCCATCTCAGGTGTTTTAGAAGAAATCAAAAGTCGTCTAAAGCCCATCTCTTCCATACTTCAGAGGACAGTGGCTATAGCTGCAGGAAAAACCCAGTCGTTTTTGTCAGGTGCGCTTTGAGCTGTAGGCCAGACATCAACCAGACTCCATATCTCCCTTATCCCTTCCATATTTCGCTAGTTTCTTCTCTTTTTGTCGTTTTCTACATGTTTTGTGTTTTTTTGTTCTCAATTTGTTTTGTGTGGTGTTGGGCATTACACACATTCTTAGTGTTTATGAACTAAAATGGTGTTTGCAAGCGCAAGATCCATTTCATACCATTTAGACATAAATGTAACTAGTTTAATTGTACGTTAGTTCACCCAAAAATGAAGATTCTGTCATTAATTACTCAAACTCATCTCATTTCAAACCCGTAAGAGTTTTTGTTCATCTTCAGAACACAAATGAAGATGTTTTTGATGAAATCTGAGAGCTTTCTGTCCCTCCATTGACCGCTACACTACTGACACTTTCCAGCCCCAGAAAGGTAGTAAAAACATCATTAAAGTAATCCATGAGATGCCACTAGTTTAATCTCAACTTTATGATGAATGAAGATAATGAATAAAAAGTCTTACGGGTTTAAAACAACATGAGAGTGAGTAATTAATGACAGTATTTTCATTTTCGGGTGAACTATCCCTTTAGTGCACCCATTCCCAATTTTTTATTTTTATTTTTTCCAAATGATTTGGGCTGCGTTTCCCAAAACCATTGTAAGTGTAAGTAGATCGTAGAGTCCTTTGGTTTATTTGCCGTTGGTTTACAACTTAGGTTCACAATGCTTTTGGGAAACGATTTAAGTTAATCCCTGTAGTAGACGGCATCACATTATCCATGATGGTCATCTTAAATTTAAATGTGTCGATTCTTTAGGAGAGCCCATGAACTCTGTGCACGAAGAAGGTGTGCGACCCCCTCCTGAAGATCCACTGAAAATAGACCACAGTGACATACAAGACATCACCACCAGCCTAGACATCGAGTCCTCCAAATCAACGCCCAGAGAAGACGCAGCTCCTGCTTCAGCAGAGAAATCCTCAAACGTTACAACCAAGCCAGGTCAGTCTCGACACTAATTCAAGTCTCAAATAACACAGTTACAGTTCTTGGTTCTTTTCGCCCAAAGTAGCGATTGGTTGATTGATTGTTTCAATCGGCCAGCAAGTGATTCAGGCTTATAAATCTTTTTTGACCATTGGTTCATTTCATTGCAGTTGAAAGATATGATGTCTTTATAGTATCTTTGTATAATGCTTTCCAATCACATTTAGTTCACTAAAACTAAAAAAATTACTACTAAAACGATTCATTTGGTCTTGCTGTTGTAGAATCAGTTTCAGTGCAGCACTGGAAATATTGTACGAAAATTGGATTACGTTGATTCAGAGGCAGAGATTCTCAACCTTTTTGTTTGCAGGCCCAACCACTTTTCCAGTTGTTAGTGGTTTACTGGATGTTTTCTTTTAAATATTAAAAGAAATATAATATATATTAGTAGTTCACTTTAAAAAAAAAAACTTTTGCTGATAATTTACTCACCCCCATGTCATCCAAGATGTCCATGTCTTTCTTTCTTCAGTCGAAAAGAAATTAAGGTTTTTGACTAAAACATTCCAGGATTTTTCTCCATATAATGGACTTCAATGGGGTCCAAACGGTTCAAGGTCCAAATGAGAGTTTCAGTGCAGCTTCAAAGGGTTTTAAATGACACCAGACGACGAATAACGGACTTATCTAGCGAAACGGTCGCTCATTTAAAAAATAAATAAAAAAGTTTGTTTCATAAGCACAAATGCCTTGCATGAGCGTTCGTGACTCTCCTGTTCGAACTCGATCATCAAAATGAACAGATCTTTTTTCGAGTCATGACTCGAAGGGTCCTAGATAAGACTCTTATTCATCGTCTGGTGTCGTTTAAAGCCCTTTGAATCTGCACTGAAACTCTCATTTGGACCTTGAACAGTTTGGACCCCATTGAAGTCCATTATATGGAGAAAATCGTGGAATGTTTTCATCAAAAACCTTAATTTCTTTTCACCTGAAGAATGAAAGAAAGACATGGACATCTTGGATGACATGGGGGTGAGTAAATTATCGGCAAAAGTTTTTTTTTAAAGTGAACTAATCCTTTAACGGGGCTGATTTAAAATACAATTTTAGTTGTTTTAGCTTATTTTAAATTCTTTTGTCTTATCCTAAGTCATTTTGAAGCCCTCTAGTGGGCACCAGCTCACATTAAGGGAACCTAATGTTATTAAAATCATCTGGGTCCAAAAATAAAACCAGTTCGGAATAAGAATCAGTTTAAATTCCCAAAGCACAAGTGTCTGATAAATTGCCTTGCTTCTAGAAACTTAGAATAGGAAAACAAGTGATTCCGCCGAGGATCAACAGAGGGCAGCATGCGTCCAGAAATAAATGTGGTGACTCCTTTGGGATATAAACTTTTTTCACATCCACTGTGTTAGAGGATACTGCTAGTATTGTTAAAGGGATACTCCACTTCTTTTTTTTTGGAAATAGGCTCATTTTACCACTCCCCCAGAGTTAAATAGTTAGGTTTTACCCTTTTCGAATGTATTCAGATGATTTTGTAATATTTAGAAGAATATCAGTAACTAGACAGTTTCTGGTCTCATTGACTTCCATAGTACGAAAAAAATATACTAAGGAAGTCAATGAGACCAGAAACTGTCTGTATCCTGATATTCTTCTAAATATCAGAAAATCGTCTGAATGGATTCGAAAAGGTTAAAACCCAACTGTTTAACTCTGGGGGAGTGGTAAAATGAGCCTATTTCCCAAAAAAAAAGTGGAGTATCCCTTTAAACAAAATCTTATCCTTTACTTAAATGTAAAATCAAAAATCAGCTTCATAGCAAGTATCTACTTGTGTTGTGAGCCAAAACGTGGAATGCATTCCCTGTAGACTTGAGGCACGAGGACCATACATCTTTGAATATGAATTTTAAACTAATTAAAAGTCCCATTCATCCACAAGCCCCTGGAATGAGCACCACCACCGAACAGTCCGGAAATGGGAAGGATTTATAGAGGCTTCCAAAAGGAGGAGAGAAGTCTCGCTCTCTCCATCTCCAAACGGAAACCACCTGGTGACAAATTTATTGCCGCTTGCTTTATGACCATCTTTACGTCTGAGTTATGTCTGTTGTTAGCGTCGACACAGACGGAGCTAAATGACTGATTCCTCACAGGAGGTTAATGCTCCGCGTATAAACAACAGAATCTGTAAATGGATATTTGAGCTGAATGTAGTGAAGCGAGTACATGAACTTCACTCATAATTCATGTTAATGAGGAACTAAGAAAGGACAATTAAAACTAGATTTGTTTTGCTTCTGAGCAGTTTCTAAGGTGTTGAGTGTTTGCACTAAAAGACCAGGAATGTGTATTATGAAAGTACATTTTGATTTCATGCTGACTAAGTGGTTGAGCCGTGTGTGTTTTGGTGTTGACTGTGCCAGTACAGGCTGGTCTAGATAGTAAAAGTGTTTCTCTTTCCCACACCCAACTGTTCTTCTTTCCATATGTTTCCCTTTTATAATATAAAGGAGTGTGCCAGCTGTAATTCACCCAGCCCTGAGTCATCCCCGCACAGCAAATATACATTACACTGTCCCCTCAGGGAGTCTGCATAGTGTGTGTTTCAGCAGGAGTAGTACATCTGAAGGAATGTGTCTTTGAGTTGCTGCTACATGTACATGAGTGTGCGCAACTGTATATGTGTGTCCATGAGTCCTCGAGGAAAGGCAGTTCTGGGCTTTTTACGAACTGTTAACTGCTAGAGAGGGAGAATGTGTCTTCCGCAGGAACGGATCTGTCAGAGTTTATCTCTCCCTTTATGCACACGACGGCCCGCTTGCAACAGCACGTGTTTATTGCTAAAGGTCTATCTGACCTCAGTGCAATCCGGTCAGCGTTTTTATTCAAACGTGGTAATATTTAGTGTCATTTATTTATCTTTAAAACTTCTCTCTCACAGAAGAAAATTAGCTCTGAGTTAGATCTTGGTTCCTCCTTAGGTTTTTCTTCACATTAAACTATGTTATTCCCTTAACTAAGACGAGTTGATGCATACCTCTCTCGTCTCAATCGCTCTGATGCGTAAGACACTTTGTTAGCACTTAGCTTAGCCCAGTTCATTCATTAGGATCCAAGTAGAGAAGCAACCAAACACATCCACGTTTTCCATTTAAAGGGATACTCCACTTTCCAGAGTTAAACAGTTGGGTTTTACCGTTTTCGAATCCATTCAGCCGATACATATTTTGCAAAATGGGATCACATTTTTTACATGTATCCAAATTTCATACCATTTGCATTAAAACAGCCAAAATGGTCAAAGAAATTAAACTGCAAAAGACCAAAAATGTCCCTAATGCAGCATAAGGGTTAATATGTGCTATTCTTCATACCACAGTACTGCAAAGATAACAGATAATGTAGTCTACTCACATTTGCTGTCCTGCGGCAAAACAGGAGAGCAGTTGCGTTTTAGACCAAATATGGTGACTGAATGCGACCTGGACGCATCCGTGATGGTGAGATATTTTGCTAAATAAAATTATCCTGTTATTGTGCGATGACATTATTATTTATTTTCCCATCTGTATCATCTCAGTGAGCTTTTGTGAAGTTTCAGGCATGCGCAGTAAAGTGAATTTAGAAGTTTCTCATCCACACTGAAACGTCGGAAAACACCTGAAAACGCTAGTGTGGACGGAGAGCGTTTTTAAACGAGAACCCCGTTTTCAAATGTATCCGGATTAATGTGGACGTAGCCTAACTCTGGGGGAGTTGTAAAATGAGTATCCCTTTAAATACAGTTACATGAGTAGTGTAACTCAACCTAGGACGGTGACACAAAATAAAAGAGATTTTAAGATTGTAAGTCATTTGCTGTGTCCGAAATCTCCACTCAAACCACTACTGAGTAGAGCACTAAATAGTGAGCTCACCAGCATTATGAAACACCACTTTCGGGCACTACTCGATCGTCTCTCGGTTCTGGGCTAAATAGATTTTTTAAAAATAAATACATTACATTATATTGAGCTTATTTCTCCAAAATTTAAAAACTAAAAGTCATTTCTGGCCGTTTCTGTTAAAATGCGCTACTCCACACATGATTATAACTTATTTTTACGATCAGCGCAATGCATGATGGTATGTAGGGCTTGGGTTAGTGACCATCGGTTGTGCTACACTACTTTTCGAAATGCATTCTGGGATACATTGAGTGGACTATAGGGTATAATAATCATCACTATACTTTCGGACAGCACTACAAAATGGCGAGCTCACTATATAGTCCAGTATATAGTGAGTAGTGGGTGATTTCAGACACAGCAATTGTCTTTTTTTGGTAAAGCTGGTTTGGAATTAAATGTTTTTTTGTGTGTGTGTGCTGTACTAATATTTTAGTTGTGAATTGTAGTTATTAAGTGAGTTGAACTGCGTTTATATCATTAACATAACACTGTCGTAAGTAACCGGGCGGAAAGTGATTAAAACGATCTCTTCTATGAGCCTAAGCAGCTGTATTGGGGCCATGAACCCCTATCAGCCATGTTGAGGGGTTTTCTTGGTGTGTGTGCTTGAGTAGTGTGATATAATAGGCGACTCTACTGTATTATACCCGAACAGCACCACACCGGCTCCTATCCGCTCAGAGCTCAGTTAAACAGTGCAAGTAACAGAACGCAGGCTGTCTTCGACCTGGATCCGGCCCAGCATCTGCTCTAGCTCTCGCTCATGTTTACTCTGGTTTGGAAGAAAGCCATCCAACATCTCTATCATCCCTGTGCCGTATTTACAACCCTGTCCGGAAACATTCCCTCCTCGAAGTCAACTGGAGGTATTAACAGGAAAAGAGGGAAGAATGAATGTTAAGAAAGGGCTAATTGTCTCAATGACTCTGGCTCTTTGTCGGAGGAAGTCACAGAGCAGCGCTCGGAGGTCCTGAAGGAGGTCCCACGTCTCATGCGAAGCGTGTAAAGGCCAGATTTATTTGAGGAAAGTGTAAATAGTCTGTTGTCAATGTGCTTTTTAAAGCCGGTCCAAATTTGTGCTTTGTATCGCGAGTGTAACTAACAAGTTGTATCCGGTTAAAGCTGCACTTTTATGTAGCCTAAAATTAAAGTGAATTATGGGTGAATCCCTTGAAACTTATCCAGAACATGTCCAGGTCATATTTCACCCCAATTTTGTTTAGGACTTTCTATATCAATCTATCGATCAAGAGAGGACAGGATTTTTGTTTTTGTATTGTGACATTATTTTAATGTCGATTTAGCTATATATCTACATATTTATATCTACTATTAACCCTAAAACCGTATTCTGGACAAATGTGTGCAAAATAGTTTTGATTTATTTTTTTAAAAATACTTCCCTTGATCTGAGCGGTACAAGACTTGGCTACTTTTCCTAAGTTTGCCTCCTGAACACACACATTTTTTTTTTGTTAAGTGGGTGAAAAAAAACTCCTTAATCTTGTATTTGTGTCAAAAATGGGCACCCATAGAAATGAATAGGAAAAACTGTAATTTAGAGCATTCTAAATTAAGCCAAAATAAGACGCCAGGTGACCGCAAAGTCACTTCATCTTTAGGTTTTAGCTCTAAGAACTTATTGCAATATTTTAATATAGTTAAAAAAAAACTACATAGTAATTAATTTACATCGAAATAATTTACATAGAAAATATGGTACTTTTTGAAGTAAATAAATTCTAAAATCCCCCCCCAAAAAAAAAAAAAACCATAAATGGATAGACAAAACTTTATCGAAGACAGTGATATAACATTTATAATAAATAAAAATTAGGATCACGCCTGAGTCCTCTGTGCCCACATTTGTCCACAATTACAGGATTAAGGGCTATAAAGTGAATACGGTTTGAGGGCTACGCTAATTTTCCTGTCCTTTCTAAATGAAGGCAAAAATATAACATCATTCTAATATGCTGATTTGCGGCTCTAAAAACATTTCTTATTATTATTATACAGTAAATGGTGAAAAAGGCTGTGCTGCTTCATATTTTCGTTGAAACGTGATCATTTTCCCCCCATCGTTTCTTGATAAATAGAAAGCATTTATTTGCTATAGAAATCTTTTGTAAGATTATTAATGTCCTTACTGTCACTTTTGCTCGGTTTAATGCGTCTTTACTTAATAAAAGTAATAATTTCTTCCAAAAAAACTTACTTTATGACTTTCATTATGCTTTGTGGCCTTTGCAGCAATGTAACAAATCATAATGGTTTTGTAGTATACAATTCCTTTATTTTAATGAATTTTTATTAGATTTATACGCTCCTGACAGGTTTTGTGAGATGCGATCTCTCACTCTCTCTCTGCGAGTTGAAAGGGTTTGATGGCAGGCTGACGCTCGTCGACGGCTGGCACAGGGACAGGCAGGAAATGGCCCTGCTTTCCTTATTGCTCCAAACAGGATGTCGGCGTGTAAACTGTTGACATGGGATGCCGGGAGCACTCCGAGGGACTGGCGTCGGTCCAGAGGGATTGAGGGGGGGCTGGAGAGAAAGAGAGGGAGTGAGCAGGTTATTGTACTGTGTACACAGATATACACGGCCAAAGATTAACACACATTATCACTGTTCTAGATTGCTCAGTCCAACAAACGGTTCTTGACCAGTAGGGCAGTTTCATTTTGCAATTACAAACACTTCTTGTGTCAAAATATGTGCGTCTGTTTTTATAATTGCCAGTTAATCAGCGTAGAGTCGTCTAGAGACTTTGGCAAATGCGTTGTAATCCCCAGCCAAGCATCCTAAAATCAAATGAGCCAGTTCTGCGTTAGCAAACACCTCTTAAATTATCCTTGGAAATGTAATTATAGCTAGAAATGCTTCGGAATATGAACAATTTTAGGTGGTTGACCGTCGTCAGAGATAGAGTGCACTGCAAGGTAATGTCCGAGCATTACGCCATGAAGCTCACTCTCTAATCTTTTCTCAGTAGTAAATGGATGGCCGACTGCCAGGGCTGCTGCCGCACTCTCTGAAACAGTAACTGATGCAATGACCCTGTCCGTCCCCCCTTTCCTGACCGGCCCAGCCTGTCGTTCTCAATCTGGGATTACCACCTCCTTCAGTTTCCTTCGGGGAAAATGAACAACCATCTTGACACTTCCATTTAAACGTGGTCTGAACAATCCTTGCAAAAGCAGCGGGAGTCAACAAACAGAACCTGTGTTGTTTTACAGCTGCAGTGATGTCATGATGTCAGAGGAGGGCAAATGACTTCCATCTAAACGGGAGAACTCTGCGTTTACTAATGCGAAACTCGACGAGTCATTGGAGCGCACACATCGTGCTCGTAACTCGCTCAAAGGATCACGCACTCCTACGGTTGGCGAATGTGCCCGCAAGGCGCTAATGGAAACATGCTCTCACGCCCAGCAAAACGGCTCCAAATGTGGGATGACCTGTTATTGATTATACCTCTCCTGTAGTCTTCGCCCCTCCACCAGATATCACCAGCAACATGCCGCACGGTTTATGAGGTAGTCCGTAAATGGATGCTAAGTTTTTTTTATTGGGGATCTCGGCCCTCGGGTTTTTAGACTCCTGCTGCTGGTTTTTCCTCTGCTCTTTTTGGAGATGTCAAGTTTTCCACTGTGCAGGACTATTTATTTGACATATTTTAGACACAGGGTGTGCCTCTGCCTGTGGGCATACGTTCTGAAAAATTACACATGCCACATGTAGCTAACCAAGTCAACATGAAATCAAAATGGCCCGCTGGTCTTCATGTGCTCAATTCTTAAGTACACATTTTTCTAAATGTAACAAAAAAAGTTGAATAACTTGTAAAAACACCAACTTGACACCATTCAATGAATGAATAATGGAGGAAATCCGTTCACATTTACAGTAATTTGCTCCTCAGAAACACATTATGAAACTAAAATGCAAATGCAGTATCATGTTTATTTCAAAGGGGTCATGACATGGATTATTTGATTATTATAATACGTTCCTTGAGGTTCTCTTATAATAAGTTACACAAAATAAAGCAAAAAAACAAATATAGATATGTGGAAAAACAGTTATTTTCAACCTTCATTCTAAGCCTTTGTCTGAAATGATCAGCTTGTAAGGGTCGGCTCCTTTAGGGCTTATCAGTAAACGAGTTATGATTGGCTAAAGGGCAAAGTATCAACGGTTACTCGCTATAGATTGGTGCAGGTATGACGTCAGAACCTGAAAGTCTAATTTGCCGCTGCTTTCTTCTAGATTTTCCTATGGGTTTTTATGTCAAATAAAGCCTGTGGTAAACATAACTTGACTACACATTGACATTGTATCAGCGCAAGTGATTTATAATTGGTTCTATTTGCTTCTGACACAACGTCTGCATCCAGTGTAGGGAAGTTTCAGGATGTTTTAATGGTACAAAGTCTTTAATATGTCAAACAATCAAGGCAATTTGATTTCTCATGTCATGACACCTTTAACAATGAACTTTTCCTTTAAATTATTTTGTAGAATCTTGTTAATGCCAAAATTATCTTGAGAGTTCAGGGTTTTTATCAGTGATGGGAGTCAAATAATGTATAGTGGCACATTGTCACAAAGTTTTTATAGCCATGTCTTACTTTGTAAAGCATCAATAAAAATGAAATTGTGCTATATATTAGGGCTAAATTGTGCTAAATATTAAATAATATATGTGTAGTGTGTGTAATTATTTTGTATATATAAATACACACATATGCATGTATATATTTAAGATAAATGTGTAATTAATATATCAAATATTTGTTTTTATGTATAATATAAATTTTGTATAAATATATATAAAGTATATACATGCAAATATTTCTTAAATATATGCATGCATGTGTTTGTATTTACATATACAAAATAATTATACACACTACACACATATATTATGTAAACACAAACTTTTATTTTGGATGCGATTAATCGCGATTAATCGTTTCACAGCCCTACTAAATATACACTACCATTTTAAAGTTTATTTTCTGCAAGATAAAAAGAAAAAGAAATACTTTTATTCAGCACGGATGCATTGTTAAATGAATAAAAAGTCATTAAAATAAAGACATTTATAATGTTACAAAAGATAAAGTTCCCCTTGAATGTTCTCTCCATCAAATGACAAAAATATGAAACAGGACAACTGTTTTCAACATTGATAGTAAATGTTTCTCGAGCAGCAAATCATCATATTAGAATGATTTCTGAATGATCATGTGACAAAGGAGTACGACTGAAGTAATGATGCTGAAAATTCAACGCAATAATGCTTAGCCTGTCATTAAGACAGTTAATCAACGAGAAAATATCTTCAATCGTGGTTGTCTTCTTAATTCTAGGTAAGGGAGCCGACCCCAACAGGCCTCTGTGTCGGAAAGCTAAGGACATTAGGAAAGAGAAACGACTTCAAAAGGAGCAACTGAAGCAGCAAGAACCGCTTTCTTCTTCTCCGAGTCCAGCCCCATCAAAATCTTCATCTAATCAGCCCAAATCATTGGAGGACTTCATTACAGAGCACTTACCCAGTGACCCGCTGCACCGTTTAGAGGCAAGTCATGACCTTTGCTTGTATGTAAACACTTCTTTGAGGTCAAGTAACTAAACCGGCCAAAGCAGGAGAAGATTGGACCTGGCACCAATCTCACAAATATTCTGGGTAAATATTCCAGGCCATTCTCTTCACAAACAATCCTCTCCTGCTTTTGCTGCGATTGCTTGGGTGAAGTCAGCATGGGTAAACAGCCAGTGTTTTTGCGTTCTAAGCAAGTCTGTATGAAGGGCCATCTCATACCCCAAACGTCATTGTCCCTGGAGACGGCGCTGGGCCGATTCATCCCTCAATTAGCTTGTTGACTGGATTGATTTGATTGACTGCAATATGTCATTCAATTATCTTAAGTGGATAGCAGTCAATGTCACTGTCATCTGAACAAGGTTAGTGGTTCACTTTAGAAACAATACATGATAACGTCCTCTGCATTTGCAGACTAAAAGCAAGCTGAACTCCTTTTTTTATCATTATGAACTTTCTCATGCAAACAAACAATTTGTGCATTTATTTATTCAACAATGTAATCTGCGTGTCAGGCCCTTGTGGAAATATAAACCGTCAGAGATGCTGGTTAAGCTCCGTCCTTGAAGTCTGTTTGTTAGCACTAATCTCTCTGGCACATAATGAAAACGAATGCTATTAAAGCAGCGTGTGGAGTATCACACGTTTCCTTTCCAGACGTCACTTTATCGGCTCGTTTCTGTAAATCTCAGTTGTGGGGTCGTTAAGCTCTCGGAGAAGACACCCAGCCTAATGAGATGTTTACATACAACCAATCAGACGCGCGGCCGGGAGTGCGTTTTATTCACACTACAGTTTAAGTGAAGCACTCATTGTTTGACAGGGAAAAGATTACTTTAGGAAGCCTTGGCACATTTTACTTCTTGCCTTACCTTGGGATTTTGATGCTGAATTATGGGAATGTTCTGGGTTCAATACATGCACTCTAAAAAATGCTGGGTTGTTTTAACCCAATTCTGGGTAAAATATGGACAAACCTGGCCATTGGGTTAAAAATGTAATTTAAAAATGAAACCCAATGGCTGGGTTTGTCCATATTGTACCCAAAATTGGGTTAAAACAACCCAGCGTTTTTTTTAGAGTGTGTTGAAAGAATTTTAGCCAAAAATGAAAATGAAGAGCTCATAACTTTCTTCTGTGACATGTAAAAGGGGATTCAAGCAAAAAAAATGTCCATACAATGAAAGTACAATGATATTTAAATGCCAATCTCAAAAAAAAAAAGACTAAATACAAGCACTTCAAATCACTTCAAAATCTTCTGATGTAATTTAAGTCAGTATATTGATTGGAACATCTCTTTGCTTCTACTTTTATAGTATTGAAAAGACTGCATGGACATTTTGTCTAAAATTCTCTCCTTGTGTTTTGTGTAAAGAATAAAATACAACAAGGATGCATTCATGTTACAAAAGATTTCTAATCATAAATAAAATATGAAGCAGCAAAACTGTTTTCAACATTGATAATAATAAGAAATGTTTCTTGATCTGAATGATTTCTGATGGATCATGTGACACTGAAGACTGGAGTAAATAGAGTGCCAAAGTGATGACGTCACTTTGTAGGACAACTCGGAAGTTAGCGGCGCATGGGTTCCCTCGATTGAAAAGCTATGCATTTTCCCCATAGACTTTCGGAAAATTGCAAAAAAATAAGATCTGTGTTTAACAAAGAGTTGTGACCCTTACACGTTTTGTCTATCAAGTTAATCCAAAATGTGTACATTGAAGCCAATATAAAGTTTTTAAAAAACTCAAAGTTTAAAAAACCACAAGCAGGTTATAACTATGTGTTCTATGTCAGAGATCAAAACGTGAAAATATTTGGAGGCTTTGTTCACCACAGACCTTATTTCAGGCGATTTAGCAAAAACCCATTCAAAAATCCCATAGACTTTAGAGCGAGGGAACCGGAAGTGCTAAAATGCTAACTCACTTCCGCGTTTGGCCTACAGAGTGACGTCGTAGCATGGTAGCGCATATTTAAAACTATATTTTTTGTTGTATATTCCATTTACTTCAATTGTAATTGCTTGACTGTTGCCCCGATTATTTATTAGTTTTTAAAAAAAAAACGAGTCAAAAGATTTTCTGTTGAAGTCATTAATTGCTTTCACTCTAGTTTAACTTGTACTGAACCCAGAAAGTTGCTTTAAGAAGTATAGGTGTCTGTGTCTTCTCAAGAGTAATTATGATTGAATATGGTTCTCCAAACCCCCCAACTACACCTGCAGAGGGCAGTAAAGGTACATTATAACCGTTCAAACTTTTCAAATCCCAGTTTGTGAAGCCACTGCCCTCTTTCACCTCCCATATAATTTGAAATCTCTGAGCTGTTTTGACAGCGCTGCGCTCTCTTTGTCTCGGTTACTCCTCACACACTTAATCAAATATCCACATCTCGAGAGAATTGCCCAGCAGATTAAAAGACTCTACTTATGTTTATCTGAAACAAAAGTCGCAAATATCTTCATTAACTTGGCCGAGCAATAATAAGAGATGTGCATTGAGGGCCAAATAAAATAAAACTGAATCTAAATCCCCCAGTCATGCTCTTCTGGAGAACTTGTGAACCATAAGCACCTCGTCCAATGAAAACGTCTCAGTGAGAGGTCCTTTAATTAGGAACAGCTTTGCCAGTCAATTAAATGTTTTTTTGGAGGATTGGATTTCGATTTGCCGCCTCAATTCTGAGGCCAGTTTGTCCTTGTGCAAACACTGATGATCCTGTTCGATGTCAAGCTCAGTTTTACTAATCAAACACAACATCTGATCCCACACAGTTAAACATTTAAACTCATGTTAGACTTTTACACCTTATACTGACTAACTTTGTCTTCAGAATGACTGGTCTGTCATGTCATTTAATAGTTGTGACCTGCGTTTTGCAAGTGCATATGCTTGTATGAATTATTCACCCTCATGTCGTTCCAATCCCGTTATGTTTGGTATCGTTAACCTGACGTGCCACTTTTAAACCTGTATTGTACTACTTTAAAACACCCATTCATTTATATTTATAGCTACCGGTTGGATTCATTTATGTAGCTAATTTTTCCTTTGAAATGTATATTATAAGCTTAAGTATTGGTCATTGTTATAGCTCTTCATCATTTCCTGTGGTTGCTAATGTGATAATGAAAGCCAGTTCAGCTGTGCCTAGAAATTCAGGACGTTTCCTTTTGTAACCGTATACAAGGAGACACTTTGAGACTGATTCACTGCAGGTCTGCGTTTAATCATTAGTGCAGGAACTCTTCTCTACAGTTTGCATTGCTTGCAGGACCAGGAAGTGGCTCTTAATCAATGAACAGGTTTCTGGACACAGTAACGTTCTTCTAAAATCCGTTGAGAACATTAAATAAACAACTAGCCTAACTGCATTATATGCACTTGATTTTGGGTCATATATTGTAATAAGTTCATAATTTGTTAGTGCAAAGATATGTTTTTCATTGACATTTTAGGTTGAAATATGACCTGTTATTTCTGTCTGAACTCATGCTGAATATCACCCAAACAAACAAAGGCTGTAATATGATGAATATGTGTCTCTTTCATGTTTTTTTGTTGTTCATGTTTTCCTGTTTTCTTCATTTGTTGGGGTGTAAGCAGTGATAACATAAGTATGAGGACCACTGATTTGCTGGTGTCAATCTCATTCAAATTTTATGTAATATGTTTATCGCATAAATCACTTTTTTTTTCTACGCAGCTGGATAATTTAATTTAGTTCTGTCCATTATTTTCAAATTCATTTTTTTATCAGATTTCCATTACAGTAATAGTTTTTGTCTTTCAATTAATGCAAAATTATTTATGCATTATTTGATCCGCATATTTTAAATGCACTACTACTAATTTATTATTTTTATACAATATTTTTTGCAGTTACATATGAAATTTGGGTGTTAATTTTTTTCAATAAAATGTCATAAAAATGGTCACAATGCTAATATATATAATTAGCTTTATTTACTGTTATGCCAAATAGGTTTTCATATTTCTTTAGTTTTTTCCCCTTTTTTCTAAATATGGGAAGTTTCATCTTGTGCTATAAAGAGAAGAACAGCATGTACAACTTTTTTTTAATTCTGTTTCCATTGCAAATCATAAGATGTTCCATGCTCACTGTACTATTACTTGGCTTGTTTCTTGGAAAGTATCTGTAATTCTTCTGTTTAACCCTCTGATGCTCATCCTCATGTTGAAGGTGAGGCTAGTGCGCTCCAGCCCTCCCAGTCCACAGTTCAAGGCTTCGTTTGACGCCTCATACCAAGTGTACAAACTCTACCAGATGGCCATTCACAAGGACCCGCCTGACAAACCTACCGAGAGCCAGGTCAGGGGATCCAGAGCTGAGGGGCTTTCTCTTTCTAGCCAGTGAGCACATTTGACATGGCCATGCTCATAACTTTGATCTCTAAACCAAATAATATTTTGAGGATTGTGACATCAGCTTACATTTGTGTATATAAGACATTCAACAAGAAAGGGGAACGCATCTGTGATGCATGGGGTGGCATGAGGTAGAAAGCATGTTCACCTGGTAGCAAAAAGTGCACTGACTTTAATGAGCACTGAGCAGTGTTTTAAAACAGCAGTGAGGAGGAGGATCCGAAAGCAAGCAGACAGGAAATTAGGGGAAGGCTAAATAAATTGATGTAAACCATGGAAACTCTGTGAAACCGTATGAATGTAATCCTGAAAAGAGGGCGAAAGAGAAATGCCAAAGGAAATGAGGAAAACGCTCCTATCCGCACTGTGTGGGCAGTGTTTCTACAGGTGCTCGTGTAAAACGAGGAGTTTGTTGCTGTTAGGATGTTTGGGTTCTTACGCAGTTATTTTACCTCTTCTTAAAGGAGTAGTTCACTTTTAAAAAAAAAACTTTTGCTGATAATTTACTCACCCCCATGTCATCCAAGATGTCCACGTCTTTCTTTCTTCAGTCGAAAAGAAATTAAGGTTTTTGATGAAAACATTCCAGGATTTTTCTCCATATAATGGACTTCAATGGGAACCAAACGGTTCAAGGTCCAAATGAGAGTTTTAGTGCAGCTTCATAGGGCTTTAAACGACACCAGACGATGAATAAGGGTCTTGTTTAGGACTCGAAAAAAGATTCGTTCATTTTGATGAACGAGTTTGAACAGGAGAGTTGCGAACGCGCATCACAGAACAGAGCAAGGCGAGCATTTGTGCTTATAAAACTTAAATATTTTTATTTATTTTTTAAATGACCGATCGTTTCACTTGATAAGACCCTTATTCATCGTCTGGTGTCGTTTAAAGCCCTTTGAAGTTGCACTAAGACTCTCATTTCGACCTTGAACCGTTTGGACCCCATTGAAGTCCATTATATGGAGAAAATCCTGGAATGTTTTCTTTTTACATTAATTTCTTTTCAACTGAAGAAAGAAAGATATGGACATCTTGGATGACATGGGGGTGAGTAAATTATCAGCAAAACATTTTTTAAAAGTGAACTACGCAACTAGGAAAGTGCAATTTCAGCCAAACATCTTCTTGTAGGCAATGAACCTTCATTGAATGTCCTTTTCCTCAAGATGTGCGTGTGTAATTCTCATACAGCCTCAGTTTTCACCCCCACAAAAAAGTATTTAAAATTCTTGCTCTTATGTTTTCCACTGTTTATGTAAAGAGAAGGAAGATGGGAAGAGCAGGAAAAATGGGAATGAGATCTTAAACCTTCGTCCCTCACATGAGCACCATAGCTTAATGCGTCAAAACGCATCTTTCCACAATTATCTTTTTGAAGTTTGAGTAATTTGTTGACTAATGTGAAAAATTACAATTCATTAACATAATTTCTGTCATCATCAGTGTTTCCTGTAGTAGCACCGAAGCTGAATCAACAACACAACGGCTTAACAGTTTCATATCTCATGACTGGGCACTGTGGAATGCATAATGAATTATGAATAAGATCTCTGCACATTGCTAGTTGCATGCTGTAACAAACACATGCTGTGATGTCTGTAATGAGTAAGTCTAACTGATTGGGAATCAGTTGGAGACATGTTTTTGCCATTCAAATACAAGCAGGATCTCAATTCGGATTGTGACTGGAACACACATTTATAAAGTGACCATAGCTTATTTGAACAGTCAGTTATTTGACTATATTAGAGAACATATAGGAATTTTAGGTTTGAGTTGGATTGAATTGGTGTTATACAGTACTTCAATCTTTGATTTTTCTTAACATATGTGCTTTTTGCTCTAGCTTATTGACGTGTGTTTTTACATTGAAGGATGTCATGTTATTGATAATATGTTTTGTGGGGCTCAACACATTGGAAGAGGTAGAACAAGCTTTTTATGTTTACTTTTCCCCCAGCACCATCAACATGAGGTGTTAACCTGTAAGTCTTCAGGTTCATTGATAGTCTACTCTAGGGAATATGATTTTAGATCTTGAGCAGAGCTTCACGGCCTCGGTGCACAAGCCTCACCTTCAGCCCCTTCCCTTTCCCTTCATTTACCCCTTAAACTCTGACTTTTAATCCGTAATGCACATTCCCTTTCCTGTCTTACTCCACACTGAATCTGCTTAAATTTTTTTATTTCAATTGTAGGAATGTAGAACATGGCTTACTGGCTTTTAAACCATAATTATTTTGTACACGATGGCTGATAATATGCCAGTAGGATGATCTACATAATATATTTGCATGTGGTGTGTATCTGTGCATGCTTCAATGTGTTTCGGATAATTAGGGATGCACCGATATGAAAATTTTGACCGATAACCGATAATTCTTTGTATTTGAAAGCCGATAACCGATATATCGGCCGATAAACTTAAATCCAAATTAATATCTGATTTTGAGAGCCTGATTACAAAAACAAAAGTCTCACAATTAAATCCATGTCCATGTTATAGTGTTGTATAGCCGATATGACAAGATTTGCGCTGCACATGTTGTAACAAACTGTATTTTCATTTTTTGAAGAGATTTCAATCATATTTCAAGAAATTCAAAAACATAAACAGTGCTCAACAAGTGTCTCAGCTGAAGCTTTAATTTATCAGCTTTAATATATCGGCCACATTTTCTTACCAGGCAGATAACGATAACATTAAAAATGAACATATATCAGCCGATACCGATATGCTGGCCGATATATCGTGCATCCCTACACATAATATAAACTGTTTAACAGATCCCAAACTGTTCTCTCAAAAAATCTGGATCAAGAGAGGATTAAACTGACTAAACTATCATAATTATGCCTCAAATACTTCTAAAATCAGCCTAATCAGAACGATAATTAACCAATATCGGTATGGTGACAGGACATATTGTTCATCACTACAAAAAATCACTGGTTTGAAGTAATTCTTAAATGCTTACAAAAAAAAATAAAGCATTTTAATTGAAAAAGTGAAGTGTAAGACAGGTTGGGAGTGCAGTTCATTTTTTTTTTTTACAGTATATTTTTGGGTTCATATTAATTTACTGTCTTTATTTAAGAAGATGCAAAATCGATTCTAATAATCTTCATGCAAATCATTGTGATCCGCACAAATCACATTGAATTTGATAAGTTTATTTCCATTCTGAACCACTTTCGTGCAAAAAGTGATGATGTGAACAGTCAGAATTCATGCGATTTTATATTTTTAATGATTCAGTTGCTTATTTAATTTTCCGTTGGATCATAAAACAGTCAGTCAGTTGAACTGTGTGAAGTTTTAGTCTGAAATGTGCAAAAATACAGGAGGAGACTAAGATTTTCCATCTTAAAAATAAAGCTTCCAAAAGGGTGTTTTTGTAGGTAAGTCATTGAAGATAACCTTCTGTTCCAAAATAACCTATAAGCGAACAGTTCTTAAAAGAGCATGTGGAATAAATGCCAATAAAGAACCTTTTTTTTAAAGAATTAAATTATTTTATTTGTTTAAATTGTGAAATTTGTGTATGTCGGGATGAATATGAATAAGAATGGGCAGTTCACACATTTCAAAGGTCTCATGAACAGAAAGTTGTAATGGGTACTTTGGCTTGCAATGTGAATATGAACCCAAAAAAACACTGCATATGTGATGTATGTTGTTTAAATCATTTCATTGATATATTTGTATTAACCATTCCCCTTATCAACACATTTTTATTACCCTCCTCTCTTTTCATCTCCCCATCCTCCATTTTTTTTATGTCCCATTTCCCATTACCCTTCCGTCTCTTTTATTCGCCTGTCTTCTCCTCCCTCTAATCATCCCTCCATCACTCTGAAGGTGAGGCTAGTGCCGGTCAGCTTTGAGGACCCGGACTTCCTGGCGTCGTACAAGCAGTCAGTGGCGTTGTACGCCCGCTACCAGATGACCGTTCATGGCGATACTCCGTCCGAGTGCGGGGAGAGCGAGGTACAGACTTCAACATGGCCCGTTCACAACTGCATGAAACACACCGACTAACCTGAAGCTCTGCTCACTAATATATGCACACTTCTCTCAAATGCATTAGCCTTTTGCTAGACCTACACATGTGCCTGCAAACGTGCTGACTGAACTTCCCCTTGTGAAGAAAAGTATTCTACAAGTCCATTTACATATTTACTGACATGTGGTTTGAGACTTTATTGATCAATATTATATGTTGGATTCATATTTCAGTCCAATCTTTTCAGCGGATAGCAGCGTTCACACTTATTCAACCGCACTAACTGAGCAATTGCACCAGAATTGGCTTAAAGGGTACATATCATGCTTTTAAATCATTCATTTTTACTTATAAATCATACATTTGTGGTCTATATAAAACATAACTGCAATGCTTGGGTCTGAATTCCTCATTATCATAGCTCCACAAGCCCCTTTTCTGATGTGCGTCTGTGAGCGACCCGTTTCAAAGCGGCCCCTTTAAATAAAAAGGAGATGCGTCACACCCCGCCCGCTCTCCAGGTCGATGAGTTCACGGTCGGTTCAACTCCCCGCGTTCGGCCATTATTGTAGTTTGATTGGAGATATACGATTACTAGCTTCAAAGAACATTTTTATTCACACGTTAACAAAATGTCAACAACGGAAGACTTGTCCATCAACCCTTAACGTTACATATTCGAGCCGGAGCGAGCGATTTGAAAAAGACGACGACGAATCTGCAGAACAACGTCTTCATATGGATGCAGTGGTATGTAAGTTAACTATGTTGTGATATTAGTGAAAGTCGACTATTTCTCTTGTTAAATCAAGCACACTGACAAGATAAATGGTCTAATCTTACCACTAAAAATCTGTATTGATAATATGATACGTTTAGAAAGCATCAGAAAACACAGCAGCTAAATGATCGAAGGAATTTACCCCTCATTCAGACGAAGTCAATCGGCAAACCCTTCTTTATACTGGCGGAGGTTGTTGAAGTGGGGATCCTTGAAGTGCTTCAGGTCACTACATCCAACAACTGAACATTTTGACTAGCCCTCTCGTAACTTCTGCATCATTGAGCTCGGACTACAAAATCGGAGCGAGAAATAATAATGGCGGATTGCTCGAAGTGTTGGGCCGGTAGTCAATGTCCTTATTTGTCAGTTCCGCTGCAAATACGGTGAAAAATTTGACCAAAACAGAATATAAAGATCTAAACGAAGCACCTGAAGAGAATAATTTCATCTTTTCTGTACTTATAAACCCTCAAAATATACAACAAAATGCATTTAAGGGCTAAAAAAGTGGATTTTGCATGATATGTCCCCTTTAAATCAAACCAAACCTGCCAAGACAAGAGTCTTGTTTGTAATGTGTCTATCTATATTCATTTGTGTCTGATGTCGTCAGAGAATAATATATTGTATGTTGAAAAGATTGAAGTATAGTAGGCAGTGGCCTCCATTTCGAAAACTTGAGCGTTGTCTAGATTGGCCAATAATTCACCTGTGTTTTGGTAGAGAGTGAATTAGGACTGAGTGAATCTGCTGAAATGGAAGTGGTTAAAGTTCTTCTATTGTGTGTTTTCAGTCTTAGACTGGGCCGGGCCGCATACACACACCCTGCTTTGTGAAACACAGCCATAACTTAATTACATGTCATAAAAGAAGTACATTCGCAGTCTGGGAGTTGGACTGTCGGGAGGACAAAGGGAGGCCAAGATAAATTAAATTTTATATAAAGCTTTGATGATTTGGTGGTTCAGCTACACCGAACAATGTCATGAATATAGTCAAAGTGTGGTTATCTTAAATGTAATTTAAGAGTTTGGAGGGTTTTTGAGTATAAAGGAAAAGGGGTTGTTGTGTTAAAGGAGTAGTTCACTTTTAAAACTTTTGCTGATAATTTACTCACCCCCATGTCATCCAAGATATCCATGTCTTTCTTTCTTCGGTCGAAAAGAAATTAAGATTTTTGATGATTTTGACTTTCCAGGATTTTCTCCATATAATGGACTATACTGGTAACCAAACGGTTCAAGGTCCAAAAGACAGTTCTCTTTTGGCAGAGAAACATCTGGAGATCCCAGTTCCTCAATGTTTATCCTGTAGCTTGATAACATTGATAATCCAAAAGAAACTCATCTTCTTGAAACCTCAAGGTTTGTCACTGCCACAAACTTGCAATTGCATTGTGTTGATTGTGCATTTGTAGAAGCTCTTTCTGGCCTTAATCACGAATTGGTACACAGATGCTGAGGGTGAACTGGATGTGGACCTGTAACCTGAGAGAAGCCTTTGCCACCCCTTAGGCCTGGAAACTGGCCCGGCTCTGCCAACAGCAAATGAATAAAGTCGTCAGAGCCGTCATTCTCCCAGATTCTTTCCTAGTGCCATAACAGAGCTCTATTTATAGTGCGGAAGGTGTGCGTATGTTTGCATAGCACAGCCTTGTGAGCATTATACTCAGATTTGAGACATTGGTCTATGTGTTTAAATTGAGGTGGGGATTTCCTGAAGTCACTTGTGTCTCGGCCTATTCCCCCATCCGTCTTCCTTCATACTTTACCTCCACGTACCCTTTGGTGGTGGATCTGGCCCTGAAAAAAATGTGCTGCAAAGCTACTTCAGCAAGATTAATTTCCCTTTTTTTGTGTGAAATTACATTGTTTTTGTGATTTGATTTATATGAATTGTTAACTTACACTATACCCTTGAACTTACACTATACCCGTGTTTAGGTCTCTTCTGTTCACCAAGGCTGCAGATCAAAAATGCATTAAAAACTGTAATATTATTACAATTTAAAATGGAATATGTAGTCAAATGTAATTTATTCCTGTGATCAAAGCTGAATTTTCAGCATCATTATTTCAGTCTTCAGGTCACATAATCCTTCACAAATCATTCTAATATGATGATTTGTTCAAGAAAAAATTCTTAATATTGTTGCTTAATATTTTTGTAGTAGCCATGATAATTTTTTTTAGGATTCTTTGATAAATGGAATGTTCACAAGAACAGCATATATATGAAATATAAATCTTTTGTGACATTCTCGTTACTGTCATTTTTGATCAGTTTAATGCATCCTTGCTGAGTAAAAGTATTCATTTAATTAATGAAACTTAATGACCCCGTACTTTTGAATGATATCTTAATAATTGAATGAATTATTACATCACAGTCAGCTTGAGATGGTGAAGTTATACATTTGGATGTTAAAGTAAGATCTCAAAATTTGTGGAGCAAGTTTGTGAGCTGATTATGCAGCAACTCATTTCCCTCAAAAATTTGTGGAAATGCTGGATTTAGTCATTTTGTTGTTTGAAATCAGTGTAAACACCCCTTTATTGTGATTTGAAGACACCACACACACACACACAGGCAGGGATTTCTGTTGTTGTAGTGAGGTGTGACTGATCTCCTACATGTGGCATGGATTTTCAGCACAACAAATCCTGTAAAAAAAAAACTGAATTTATTCCTAATGGCACACTGACTAATTTTTTGAGTACCTCTGGGGAGGAGAGGAGGAACACAAATCGATTCATACAGTATGTGTTTATTTTTACTAATACCATCATCCTGTTGGATCTCAGACATTCTACATTAATGTATGCATTCAAAGTTAAATGATGCATGCTATTTCCCAAAATTAGCAGTTTCTTAAAACTCCCCATCACTTGAATAATTTCAATGTACACGTATGTTACCTAGTTATATCAGCTCTCTGACAGACGTAGGATGATATAAACAGCAGATTCCATGGTCCATTAAGGACCAGTCCCTAACGTTCACTATGTTCTGCTTAATTTCAAATCCCCGCAGAGCCATTTCACTTCCTACTTTTGGTCAGAGTTTGGTCAGACGGCAATTTTGGAACATCTCAGAACTACATATTTGAAGAAGGGCTACAGAGAGAATAAAGCCGTGGTGAAAGAAGCATGAACTTTTGTCATGTAAGATATGGGTAGTTGACAAATAAGAGGTTTTCCTTTCAACATCAAGACATTCGAGGAGGGAAAAAAGTAGAACAGAACTAGACTTTTTCCCACCAGGAATTGATTTAATTGTAAAAAGTGTCTAATTTCCATTACCAGTAACGTTACCGACTCGAATCGACTCGCTTTTCGCTCCGTTTTCCATTGTGGACAGTACCACAAATAGTAGCCGGTCGTCATAGCGACGCCTTTCGTTCCTCGTTTGCCCCATCAAGCTCTCGCTGGATCCTCTCGTCGGCCACCAAACAAAGGAAAGTCTGCACCTCCTCGTTTGACCATGCCGTATTCTTCCGTGTTGCCATAATAATAGTAGTAAGTTTAGTAACTATCTCTGGCCAAACTATTTAAAAATGGCGGCGGGGTTATTCTGGATACTAGGGCTGGGTAATAAATATCGATTTCTCGATATTAATCGATTCTCATTTTTACAAACCGATATCGATTCTTAGAATCTTAGACTCAAGAATTGATTAGTCATCCTGTTTCATTTGAATGAATGGATCATTGTATTGCGGCTGCGCGCATCCAAAAAATCGCGTTAATCTTTGTCCTTTGTTACTATTGATATGAAACAAAGTCTCAAATTTCAAGTTAATTCCATTTTCTTTAGAAATTCAAAAACATAAATAACGTTTTGGCGCTGTGGCGTGAGATCGCTCTGGCGCAGCTCAAGAGAAGCAGCGGCGTCGTAACTGCGGCACTCTATATACACCATATTACGCATTATAATCTTAATGTTCTTCAATATTTAATGCATATTTGAATAAATCTGGCAAGTTTTTATGACAGCCACCATTTAAATGTTTATATTTCATATAATCTTATTATTATAAAAATAAACAAGTGTAATTTAAGTGTTTGTATAGCTACAAAACAGTTAATTATTACCTTCATATTAGGCTAATGAAGCCTAGTAGGCTACAACTAGACTCTACAGCATTAGTTAAGAGATTTGATTTCCTTGAGAAAATTTGCCATTTATTGTAACTGATATCCAAAATGATCAATATTGAATCGAATCGGAATCGAATCGAATTGCAAGCATGTGAATCGAAATCGAATCGAATTGTGAAATTTGCCCTACTGGATACTCCATCTGGCGCATTCAATGATAGTGATGATTCTCTCTGACCAATCAGCAGTCGGCATTGTTTTCAAGTCACATTTTAGTATCGCCTTAGCTCGTTCAGAACCTCGCCGGAGGTGAGGTACCCGAAAGCAGGTACAGGTACAACTTTTACACAGTGGAAAACCAAACAAAGGCGAGTCGAATCGGTAATGTGTAGTAGAAAACTGCAGATGTAAATTAGCCTAAGGCTAACTCTGGTGTAATGCATCAAATGTTTACATTTATGTTATTAATTGCACATGGTCCCTTTAAAAAAAAAACCAATACAATACAATACAAAAGCTCTATAATATGGTTGGTGGTTGTAGGGGAGAGGTTGAGAAGTAAGAGAGCTTGGTGATGGAGCAGATTGATTCCATTCCTTTTGTGGATGTAAATATATTTATGTAAATCTTTGCATCCTCATCCTATCCAGTCTATGTTAATAACCAATCAGGGTGTTCACTGCCAGGCTCCAGGAGATCAGCAAGGAGACTAATGGAAATATGCCCGCATTGCCCTTTCTCATTGAGCTGTTACCCACGAACCCCCACTGTTGAGCTCCTGGCAGCACAGGAGAGAGTCTTTGCCAGGTTTTACCCCTGAGTGACTCACCACACCCCACTCCCAAATCCCATCTTTCTCACTTTCCCAACAATACGTTTCGCTTACACAACTGCCGCAAATTGAGCATTATTCAAAAGAGACATTTGTTGGTTAAAGTCGTGTATAACACAGCAGCAGTTCTCTGAAAATTGTGTGTTCGAGACAAAAATCATAAATTGTTTGGCTGTATTTTTAGATTCGTTGTTGATTTCAAATCCACATTCGCTGTTAGTTCTCTAAACATTGCAGATGCAAAAATCACCATATGGAGTTTGTAACTGCTGACTAATTCTCTCCAAAACTCTCGCTGTCCAATAAGCAAAGCTGCTCACTGTTGTTTTGTAGCATTTTAAACCACAGGAGCCTGGTTTTGCCAGATTACAACCAGACTGGCTGTGTGTGTGTGTGTGTGTTTGTCTATATTAGGAGGGGATGAAATGTGCAGTGTTAGTTTGTTTTTGATGTTTTTAGTTCGTATAAGCTGCCTATTTCTTTCTCTCTTATTGGTTTATAATGTTACACCATTACAGCAGGGTATATTAGTATCACAGGCCTGTGGATACACAGTGACTCAAACAGCAAAAGCACACATGCTATTGAGAAAAGTACCGATGATCGTGGACCGCTTAGTGGTTTCATGTATTTCATGTACAGTATATCTTTTATCTGATCAGTTTAGTCTCTCACTTCCTATTTGTTAGTTGCTTTTAGCTGAACTTCAGCTGACAATATAAGTATTTAAGGTATCAGGATTTTCATTACATTTACAGGGGCCAGCAACAACACAATTGACTGTCATTAATTTAATTTTCAGTATCAATTTTAGATGGCATGAGAGACAGAGACGTGAGCAAAGTTAACTTAATGCAAATAATGCGAGATGGAAGTGCCCTGTGCGTGGTTTTCATACGTGTTTTGTGTCCTAACACGTATTGTGTGTCTGTATGCATGTTCTATTGTTCTTAAGTTTGGTCCTTAATGGCGCTTTTCCACTGAGGGGGAGACATGGGCTCTGTTTCCTAAAATCAATAATTAGTTCTTTCGTTTTGGACACATTACATCGCAAGTTGTTATAGTTTTAGTCTTTTGATAATATTATACTTTTTTTAGCGTTAAATGTTGGATTGTGATTGTCAATTCCGCAGTATTGTCATTTCTTTTTGTGTTTGTGTTGTTTTTTATGTTTTTAGAAAATATGTTGTGACAACAGCGCGTGATGAATGACCACATGAATTTCCCCTTGTGGGATAATAAAGTTTACCTTGACCTTGACCTTTATTTATGTTTAAAAAGGAACACTTACACCACTTATTAAAATCCTTCAATATTGGTTCAATCACATTTTCATTTAAAAGAGACACAATGACAGAATCATCTGCAAATTTTAAAATCTGTCTATCATCATAGTGTGAACGGCATTTATTTGTGTATAATACAAAAAGAAGAGGAGAGAGGACACATCCTTGGGGGGAGCCAGTAGAAAATAAAAGTTTACCAGATAAGACACCATTAAAGGGATACTCCACTTTCTTTGGAAATAGGCTCATTTTACCACTTCCCCAGAGTTAAACAGTTGGGTTTTACCTTTTTCGAATGTATTCAGCCGATTTTTTGATATTTAGAAGAATATCAGTAACCAGACAGTTTCTGGTCTCATTGACTTCCATAGTATATTTTTTTCCTACTATGGAAGTCAATGAGACTAGAAACTGTCTGGTTACTAATATTCTTCTAAATATCAGAAAATCGGCTGAATGGATTCAACTTGTAACTTGATTCGAATTGTAAAATGAGACTATTTCCAAAAAAGTGGAGTATCCCTTTAACCTTAACGTTTTGAGATCTTAAAGTTAAAAAGTCAACTAACCAGGCTGTTAGACCTGGGTTAATGTTGTGTAATGTCTATCTGCTAAAATGTGGGGTTGAACCTCGGCAACCAACGAGAGGAACATTTGCCCTCCGTCCACTGACCACCATTCAATTTTTTATTTTTTTTAAATTTTTATTTATTTTTTATTTTTTGGAGTGTTTGGAGAATATTTTCTATATTGTTGTTTCTTCAAGCAAGTAGTTTTAAAACAGGTGCTACAGCGGTGGCTCTTACTGGCTATTTAAATCTAGCGGGTTGGTTTGATGTCTCGCAAATTCTGTCTGACCAATCAGTGATCTGCAGTGTCGCATCACATTTTAGTATCGGTACGGTATGCTTGGAACCTCAACAAAGGTGGGATGTAAAGCGCGCCGAAGCAAGCTGTACCGTACCGTGCCATGCAGTGGAAAAGCGCCAAAGTGTGCCGTACCAAACCGAAGCATACCGTACTATGCAGTGGAAAAGCGCCATAAGTCATGTGTGACCTAAAGAAACCCATAAGTCAGTCATTGATAAATAAACCAAGACCATGGCCACTTTAGCAAAGATAAAGTTTTTAAACAACTTTGGTCTCCTTAATAAACATCTTGCTTTTCTCCCTTCACAATGCTTGCCAGTTGCTACCTCCTCACTTTTGCCAAAACAAACTAATGACCGAACAGCTACTCGTTTTGAAATTAAGTAAACAATATTAAACGTCTTGCATCACTGTGATTACAAAAGTTGCTATTGTGTGTGTTGTTAAAGAGCCAAGTTTATTTAAACCCTCTTAAATAAAGAAGAATGGAAAATCGTTGAAAGTCCAATTGAAGATTTAAAGCAAAGATTTGTTTGTTTGGGCATCGTGACCAACCCAACACATGACACATGTCATTAAACTTTTCTCACTTTGCTATGCACAGGAATAATAGGGATAATAGCTATTTAAGCCTAATCTGACATTAATGCACACCACAACATTGCCAGTGGGAAAACAAACTTGGTTTGTAAATAATAAAAAAAATGCTTGTAATGTTAGCTTAAAAGCTCAACAACCACAGGAGACATATTTGAAAAGATGATACAAAGGCCATATCAAATGTGTTCAACTATACATGAGACTGCCTGCCAACTATAACCATGTTATCTTGTGTGTTCATTTAAAGTAACACTGTCTTTTCTACTTCTTTCCCCTCACAGTTTAAGAGGTTCCTCTGTGACTCTCCTTTAGAGGTAAGTCTTTTTTATATTTCAAATGTACAATAAGATTTGCCTCTCTTGCCAAAGTCTTCGCAAATTTTGAGGATTTCCCTTTGAAATTGCACAGGTCCAGTATAGTCTCAAAGCTGATGATTCAATCATAATCATCAGTAGTTCCATACAGTTCATTATCATACACTTCTGAGTGCACATATACTGTAGTTTCCATTGGCAGATATAAAAGTTGCTTAAAAATGATTTTGCACAGAATCTTTTTTATTCAAAATGTCTTCTTTTTTTCTTTTGATTTTGAGGGAAAATTAACTTCGATTTTTGCCAGGCATCATATTCATATAAAATAATTAGGGTAATACCAACTATGAGTTACAATGTTAATTTTGTGCAGTGGTCTATATGAGACTGGTGTAGAGCCGCAGTGAGACAAACAACATGTGGAAATGGCTCTCTGGGTAGCAGTGTAATTGTTGGGTTGTTTGTTTGTCAAGAAACGATGGAAAAAGTTAAATGTGTTGTTCAGACCAGCCACATTTCTGTGCATGGCATGGCCACACACACATGGGACGGGAACACAAACAAAGAGTTGACTGTGATGTGAAATTGTCCCTGACAAGATGATCATCTCTGTCGTGTCCAACTGCCATCATCAAGAGATCCCTTTGTGGTTTTTCCTTGATATTGAGGAGCAGAAGAGGCAAATGTTTTTTGATATTTGGAAGGTTAAATTGCAGTGAGGTTGAAAGACTTATTGACTTGGCTTTTCCATTCAGAAAAAAATTCATTCCTTGACAAAAAAAGTGCCGTGGCATGCCACAAATATTCTTTCATTTCATTTCATGTAAATGGTATTTTATATATATATATATATATATATATATATACACTCACCGGCCACTTTATTAGGTACACCTGTCCAACTGCTCGTTAACACTTAATTTCCAAGCAGCCAATCACATGGCGGCAAATCAGTGCATTGAGGCATGTAGACATGGTCAAGACAATCTCCTGCAGTTCAAACCGAGCATCAGTATGGGGAAGAAAGGTGATTTGAGTGACTTTGAACGTGGCATGATTGTTGGTGCCAGAAGGGCTGGTCTGAGTATTTCAGAAACTGCTAATCTACTGGGATTTTCACGCACAACCATCTCTAGGGTTTACAGAGAATGGTCCGAAAAAGAAAAAACATCCAGTGAGCGGCAGTTCTGTGGGCGGAAATGCCTTGTTGATGCCAGAGGTCAGAGGAGAATGGCCAGACTGGTTCGAGCTGATAGAAGGGCAACAGTGACTCAAATAACCACCCGTTACAACCAAGGTGGGCAGAAGAGCATCTCTGAACGCACAGTACGTCGAACTTTGAGGCAGATGGGCTACAGCAGCAGAAGACCACACCGGGTGCCACTCCTTTCAGCTAAGAACAGGAAACTGAGGCTACAATTTGCACAAGCTCATCGAAATTGGACAATAGAAGATTGGAAAAACGTTGCCTGGTCTGATGAGTCTCGATTTCTGCTGCGACATTCGGATGGTAGGGTCAGAATTTGGCGTCTACAACATGAAAAAACATGGATCCATCCTGCCTTGTATCAACGGTTCAGGCTGATGGTGGTGGTGTCATGGTGTGGGGAATATTTTCTTGGCACTCTTTGGGCCCCTTGGTACCAATTGAGCATCGTTGCAACGCCACAGCCTACCTGAGTATTGTTGCTGACCATGTCCATCCCTTTATGACCACAATGTACCCAACTTCTGATGGCTACTTTCAGCAGGATAATGCGCCATGTCATAAAGCTGGAATCATCTCAGACTGGTTTCTTGAACATGACAATGAGTTCGCTGTACTCAAATGGCCTCCACAGTCACCAGATCTCAATCCAATAGAGCATCTTTGGGATGTGGTGGAACGGGAGATTCGCATCATGGATGTGCAGCCGACAAATCTGCGGCAACTGTGTGATGCCATCATGTCAATATGGACCAAACTCCCTGAGGAATGCTTCCAGCACCTTGTTGAATCTATGCCACGAAGAATTGAGGCAGTTCTGAAGGCAAAAGGGGGTCCAACCCGTTACTAGCATGGGGTACCTAATAAAGTGGCCGGTGAGTGTATATATATATATATATATATATGAAGAGTTCAGATGCAAAAGCCTCTAAATTTTCTTCTTGAATGATGATTTTTATCAAACTTGTATATTTAAGTTCAGTAATTTCACTTAAATAACAATTAATAGGTAATATTCATTGCCATTTAAGTGAAATCAACTTAAATATACAAGCTTGATAAAAATGATCATTCTAGAAGAAAATTTCAAATGGCACTTAGAGGCTTTTGCATCTGAACTCTTCATATATATATATATATATATATATATATATATCAGTGTATGTTAGTTTTTAACCCTTGTTTCCCCCCCACTACCGCCTTTTAACCAGAGATGTATAAAGTACTAGAAACCCGGACTTAAGTAAAAGTACAAGTGCTTTATCAAAAAAGTGAATTGAGTAGAAGTTGAAGTGCTCTACACTTTAAGCAAGTACTAAAGTATTCAACATTTTTTGTACTTAAGTAATGCAAGTAGTTTATTTTAAAATTCACTACTTAAGTACTAAAAGTACAAGTATTGTGTCGTGTAATTATTAAAGAAAGCAGTCAAAAGTTTGAGCTAGCAATCAAATAAGGCGCTTTGGCGGGATACAAATTTGATTTGGCGGCCGCCAAAAAAATGTCATTGCAGGATAACCCCTGCATTAGTTATCAATGTGTGTGTCAATCAATACCATTACCCTATAAAACTGGCGTGTGATTTAGGCAGCATGAAAGCCAACTTGCAACGAATGATTCGTAAAATTTTTATAATTATAACGAGTAACTAGCAGAACATTAAAAAAATATCGAAGTAAAAGTATTAAATTCATCGAAAATATCTACTGAAGTAAAAGTAGAAGTATGAGAAAAAAACAATACTCTAGTAGAGTACAGATACAGCATTTTAGTACTTAAGTACTGTACTTGTGTTACTATACATCTCTGCTTTTAACCCTCCCTAACGTCACTTGTTATCTCATTACACCAGATTTATTATGGATTTTAACATCTAGTCCTATTTTCTAAAAAAACAAACACGATGGTAGTGATCAACTAAAATATTATTAACTGTGGTATAGTGTGGTTTTACCATGTCCAACAAAAGCATGGAGGGAAACATGTGCACTCTGCTTCCCCCTTTGTGCTAATGAAGGCTGTTACCATTTACAGGAAACATGCTTTTATCACCTCGTCAAGGCTGTTAGCCAGACGCTCCAACGTCAGTGCGTTTGATCCCGTATATACTCACTCATGCTTTTTCTAGTTTACATTCTTTTTCAAACTTCCATTTTTTTTATTTAGTTAGCAAAATATACAGTGTCTTTCAGAAGTTTTAGGCAACAGCTGAATTTTCAGCATCATTACTCCAGTCTTCAGTGTCACATGATCTTTCAGAAATGATTCTAATGCTTATTTGCGGCTCAAGTCTCTTACGGTCTTGAATGGTGTTGTGACTTTCACTTGTTTAGCTTGAGAAATGTCTCTGTAATTAGAGAGCATCTTGAAACCGATGGGTTCAATTATTGCATTTTATTGCTTTAGTACTAAATGAAGGACTCTTTTTTTTCATCTGCGTGCAGAAATCTTAAAGGGGCAATTGGCATCAGGTGCAGAACCGTGTGCGCTTGTGGCATATCCGTTCACTTAAAGATCCATGAACAATAACACTATTTGAACTTTGCCTGCAAAGTCAAACGTAAACAAACATAATTGAAGATTTGCATGTATTAGGCACATTCACCTGGTTGTGTTTATCTAGGTGTGTGTGTGTGTTTGTTCACGTGTGTGTCACATGGCAGCGTGTTTTGCGTCACTTCTCCTGATGCACGCCTGTGTTGCATTTGTACGTCTGTTTCTGTTTGGATTTTTTTTAAATGTCTTTAATTGACCTGAAATGTCTGTCCTAAGGGGAAATGCTCGTTAACAGCGGTGTTGTGTAATTAGTCGTCAAGGTTTTATAGACCTCAAACCCTGCCTTTGCTTGCACCATACCCCGGTTTTTCCACATGCATATACACACATACTTGGCATACACCACTTATGCCGTAGTTTTCCTTTATTTTCTAATTCCAGTGACAAGCAATACCAATTAGTCTTTAACTGTCCATGTCTCTCTCGTCACTTGACACACATCCTTATCTGAAGGATATGACGCAATGAAATCATTAACACTCCTGCATGTATCGCGTACAGGCATTGCATCTGCGTCGCAGAGGGAGCCGCGTGCCACGCCATGCCGTGAGTGCCGGCTCTGAGAGAAATGGCAGCCGTAATCGAGCGCTGCTGTTTCCACGTGGGGTTAAACGAGCCGTCGCTGAGCGCTGTGTCTAATGAGCGCTGTGTGTTTAGAGTGCCTGTGTGACTCGAATAACATTTGAGTCCTGCTGCGTTCCCAGTTCCTCTCTAGGGCCCAAATTTGAGGAATAATTATTTGACATTTAAAATCTCTGTAGTCAATAAATGGAAAGTAATAGAATATAATGGAGGTATTTTATAATTATAATGGGGGTATTGTACAATACTCAAGTCAGTTTTATTTTAATGTGCTGTACGTTGTGAATATCTGTCTTACTTTATTATTACAGTCTGAATCCAGGAACGTTGGGCTGAATTCACCATATAATTGACCATATTCAGTGGGTTGTACTTTTATTTAAAGGAGTAGTTCACTTTTGAAAAAACTTTTGCTGATAATTTACTCACCCCCATGTCATCCGAGATGTCCATGTCTTTCTTTCTTCAGTTGAAAAGAAATTAAGGTTTTTGATGAAAACATTCCAGGATTTTTCTCCATATAATGGACTTCAATGGGAACCAAGCGGTTCAAGGTCCAAATGAGAGTTTCGGTACAAAACTGCAAACTGTTCAAAGGGCTTTAAACGATTTCAGACGATGAATAAGGGTCTTATCAAGCGAAATGATCACTCAT